TGCTGCGCTCCACTCCGTGCGCGGCAGAGTCCAGGCTTCAAAACACGCGCAAAGCTGGCACGGCATTTGCAAGCTGAACTCCCAGCTCAGCCCCTGCCCGCTCCCTTCTGCCCCTCTCGGCCCCAGGGCACCCCCCCTGCGCTCGCTCGCCGTACCCCCACGAGCTCAGCATCGTGGGCACTCTCTTTTGTATCTGGAACGGCTGCCAAGTCCCCGGAGCCCCCAAACACAAGGTGTACGTCGGTTTCCTGGTGCCTTTTCTAGCTTCAGGATCAGACCCAGATCCTGCTCCCTCCTTCCTCCAGCTCTGCTGCAATTACCCTGCCCGCTGCAAGGCTGGGGTAGGAGGAGATGCTGCGCTGGGATTTGGGAAATGGGCTCAATTCCCGGCTCTGCCGCCAGCTCCCCATTTGACCTTGCATCGCTCGGCAGCTGCCTTGTCCCTCGGTCCCCCACCCGAGATGCTGCCACGCGGTGCCCCACCAGGCAGCTGCAAGGAGAGAAATTTGGGGTGGGGGGGTGTCGCAAAACCCCCACAGGGAAGAGGCTCTGTGAAGGCCACATGACGAAGGACAATCCTAGAAATAAAATGGGTCTTTTCCTAAAATATTAGCACAAGTCAGGCCAATTTGATGAGGGTTAATGCCATCACCCCTTGCATCAGGAACGTCACCCCCCGCAGTGCCGGGGACCGCTGGCGCTGGTGCAGAGTCAACCTGCCCCGAGGATGCAGCCGTGGCAGAGAAAGGGGTCAGGGCTCACGTGGCTTGCAAACAGTAACGATGCAGCAAACGAGCAGGAACGGATCTCAGAGCGATGCCAAAACCAAGCGAGCGCAGCAGGGACTCCCAGCTGCCCAGGAGAGCTGGGAACGCAAAAAAGCCGCTCTGCTTTTCTAACGGATGTTTCAAAGCCTCCGAAACCCAAAGCCATTTCCCTGCACAACGGCCTCAGCTGGAGATGCTCCAGCTGGAAAGGGGGCGGTGGGGGAGGTGGGAGGAGGTGGCCAGCAGCCTGCAGCCTTTCCATCGCACCCGCATCCCAGGGACACTGTGCTGTCCCTTGGAGGGGCAGGGCTGGGGCCTGTGCTTGGCCCTGTGTGTTCAGCAGAGCCGTAGCGGCGTTGGAATAAATCCTGGAGAGTGACTCGGCTACGCTGATGGCTGTTCTGGCTTTGCAGAGCAAGCTGGCTTGAAAGGACAGGTTAACTCTTAAGCGTATCCGTGCCCTGGGCACAGGGAGAGCCAAGTCCCCATCACCGAGGTGGGGGTGTCAGTGGGTGCAGGAGCAGCCCGTCGGCACAGTGCCGTGTCCTTTAGCTGCAGGGCCAGCAGCTGCGGCGCAGATGGAGCTGGAAAACGGAGAAGGACAAGGGACTGACCCGCATCGCTCCTCTCCCTGAGGTGGCTGTGCTCCAGCCGGAGGGCTGGCCCCAGCTCCGCGCTACTGGGGCAGGGTGCGTTTGTCTGGGCCAGCAGACAAGTGGTCCCTGGAGCAGCACCCCAGGGTGCCCCGCATGCCGTGATGGGAGGTGGGGCTGCCTGCAGAGCAGGGGTCGTTTGGAGAGCCCTGCACAAAATCAGTCCTGTGTCTTGCACCAGCAAGAACCTGGACCTCACCCCACTGGCCCCCTCCCAGGAACTGCTCTCAGCCCCTTGAAAGGAGAGCGCATCTCCCCAGCCCCGGGGGCCGGGCGGTGGGCTGCCTCCTGGCACCAGCAAGGGCAGGTCCCAGCTCCCCAGACCTGGGGAGCTCCTCGGATCAGCTCTGAAGCCCGACTCCCATTCTAAATAAATGGCCAGTCACCGCCTGAGTGTGTTTACCCAAGAGGAGTTGGCTGAACAAGCACGTTCAGTGTTTGCCAGCAGGGCCCGTGCGGTGCCTCCCCCGGCACGATCTGTGCCGCTTCCAGCGCGGCAGAGTCCCGACCATCTGTGCCGCGTGGGCTCTCCCCATCCCGGGTGCCCGCGGGGAGCCCTGTGCCCGCCAGCCCAGCGCTTGACCCACCGGAGGGGATACCCCGGGTGCCCCCGACCCGTGATTTGCACCAAAGCAGCATCTTTGCTCACATCTGCCTGTGCCAGGCGCAGAGCGCCTGAAATCCCAGGAGAGGGGGAGCTGCCGGAGGGGCAGCGCTGGGAGACAGCTCGGTCCCTGGAGCAGCCCCCCAGGCTGCCTGCAGAGCGGGGGTCATCCAGAGACCCCCTGAACAAAATCAGTCCTGTATCTCGCACCAGCAAGAACCCACGCCTCCAGGTCAGCGGGAGGAGGAGGTGAAACGCTCCTGCTGCCGAACTGGGGACCCCGGGGAGGTCGGGCACTCGGGGGGATTGAGGTCTGGCCTCTCCTGGGGAGGCTGCTGCCGCCAAAGCCCCAAAACCTCCCTCAGGCCAAAGCAGAGCAAGCACCTGAGCCGACCCCGGGGCTGCAAATAGCGGCTGAACTGGGAGAGCATGGGGTGCAAGAGGTCTTTTCTGGGCTCCTGCACCCAGGCACGGCTACAGCCCCCGGCACCGCCCGTGGCGGGGACACCCAGCCAGGATGAACAACCCCGCTGGGCACTTACCTAGATGGCAGCGGATGCGGATGTTGGTGGGTCCGTAGTGCTCGGCGATGACGGTGCCCGGGCTCAGCACGGAGATGCACGCGTTCCCAAAGACATTGTTGCCAATGCAGGTACGAAGGCTCCCGAGCAAGCGGTACGTCCGTGGGCATCTCCTGCAGTTCCTGGGCACGCACATGCCCTGGTTCACCAGGTAGAAGGTGAACCACTCCCCGCTGGGCGTGCTGTTCATTTTCCATCCTTGCGGGAGGCTGCAGTTTGAGAAAGCTTTGTAAAGAGTCTCAAACTCGCACAGGATGGTCTGGAAGTTGCGCTCCAGCAACTCCACGTCGTGCTTTTGAGCGTCCCGGGAGAAATAGGGCATGGTCGGCAAGTCGGGCAAGAAGAAGACTTCGGGCTTCTGGATGGACGGCCGGCTGTTGAGGTACCGGCCCTGCTCACGGATGCCCTTGTGGATCCTGCCCATGCCGGACCAGGAGTAGCGCTTGGCGTATTCCTGCAGGTTGTGGTAGAGTTTCTGGTTGAGCCCGTCGTGGTGCGTGCAGCGCACGCAGTCGGGCGAGTGGCAGTAGATGTACCCGTTCTGCACGCCGTTGGCCTCGGCGCTCTGCATCAGGGCGTTGACGGTGGCGTAGGCGCGGGGCTGCTCCCGCCCCACGTGGTAGCAGTACCACAAGAAGAGGACCAGGAGACAGGCGACGGCAGCGAGGGCGGTAGCGTCGCAGTCCCGGAAAGACTGGATGCCGGTGGCGATGAAATTCCGGAGTCCGTCTAGGGACCAGCTGCAATCCATCAGCCACTCCAAAGACATGGTGCTGCAACGGGTGGTGGGTGCACGCAGAGGGGCCCGGCGGTCAGTCCTCGTGGTCCTCAGAGGCACCCACACCATGCAGCTGGGCCG